CAGCACCGCGGTGCTCCAAAATCCTAGCGACGGCTTGCAGGGAACACGCTGGTTGGCAAAATAGGAACCGAGGTTTGAGAGAATTTTGCATGCTCCCGGGGGCGGTTTTGCAGTTGAGAGTTTAGGGTTCAGGGTTAGGGTTAAGGGTTCCTCGGGGGATGTTGAAGCTTGATTGGATGTTGTGCTCTGGGCTGCAAATCTTCGTACTCCCAAAGTACATCTGACGTCTGAGGATATGACTTCCCGCTGGCGCACCAAGCGACTTGGTTGTACAATCCGAGCAGTGTAGGGGGTCTCAGGCTATACGGCATCAGGCACAGCATGCAAGAGCCGCAGCGGACCCCTACAGGCCCAAAAGCTCCGAAACCCTAAACCCTAAACCCTAAACCCTAAACCCTAAACCCTAATCCCTAAACCCCCTAAACCCTAAACACTGAATCCTTAACCTTAAACCCTTAGGAGTTTTAGGGTTCAGGGTTGTTTGTGTTCCCGTGGTGTAGAGGTGTAGGATGAGCAAAGCCTGCGGTCCAATGACCCCCCTCCCCTTGAACGCCAGAAACCACAATCCCTGCCCCCCCGTTTCCCCCTCCCCCCCCTCCCCCCCCAAACCAAAAAAGAGGTGCAGCAACCTGGAATCAGAGCGTAAGCCTGGAATTCCTGAACCGTAAGTGCTGCCTCTTGAAGGGCCCAGAGTGTCCTGAGGGGTTGAGGGCTTGGGGTTTGGGAATTTCAGCTGTGGGCAAGTTTAGGGTTTAGGATTTAGGGCTGAGGGCTGAGGGCTTAGGATTTAGGAGAGTTTAGGGTTTAGGGTTTAGGGTTCAGGGTTTAGGGTTTAGGGTTTAGGGTTCAGGGTTTAGGGTTTAGGGGTGCTTCTTTCATCTGCACAGCAGGAGTGCGTCGATTGGGCCAAGGACCTGTCCGGAGTGGCCAGGGCTTGTGGCTTTGTTCTCGGTCAGCCCCTTGGGGCTCTATTGTAGAGATATTCGGGTTTACATGGTTTAGGGTTTAGGGTTTAGGGTTTAGATTAAAGTCGAGTGTGCACAATTTTCTTCACCACCCCCCCCCCCCCCCTCTTGGGGTTGGGGGTGCGGGGGAAGTGTCTTCCGACCGTGTGCAAGCCTGTGGGGTTTGTGCAAGGGCTTCGCTAGAAGGAAGTCCGAAGAACTCACAGAAACAGCCTGAAACCCCGAAGGATAGGTGCGGCCCAAGCTTTGCAAAGCTCTCGTTCCCCCCCCTCTCCCCCAAGACCATTTTTGTTTCCATGGCCTGGTAGCGGAGGCAGGGAGAAGAAAACCATGAATTCTTGCGGGGGCTTAGAGGCTTTAGAGGGTCCAAGGTTTCAGGGCTTGGGGTCTTGCGTCCAAATTTTCAAGGGTATGCCTGTGGTAGGCTTCCTCCACGTCCGGCCAGGACATCCGGCAATCAGCAATCTCGACTGCTCCGTCTGGGCTGCAGGACAGAGCTCAGAATATGGGTGCCCTTTTGGTGGTTTAGGGTTTAGGGTTTAGGGTTTAGGGTTTAGGGCTTAGGGCTTAGGGTTTAGGGTTTAGGGTGCAGGGCTCGGGGTTTGAAGTTTAGGATTTGGGTCTTGGGGTCCGACATGTAAAGCTCCATTGCCATCCCGGGACAGACTACCACGACCTTGGCATCATATTGCGGAGGGGGGAGGGCGTTCATATCCCCAAACCCAAAGCCCCAAAGTCCAAAGCCCAAAGCCCAAAGCCCAAACCCCAAGCCCCAAACCCCAAACCCCAAACCCAACCCCCAAGCCCCAAACCCGAAACCCCAAGCCCCAAACCCCTAACTTCCCCCCCAAGCCTCCCACAACCCTAAAGCCTAAAGCCTAAACCCTAAACCCTAAACCCTACAACCCTGATGGTCAGGCCTCCCCTTCGGCCGTCACGGTGCCAGGATCCCAGCATACTTTAGGGGCACCCCTAAACCCTAAACCCTAAACCCTGAATCCTAAACCGTAAACCCTAAACCCTAAATCCTAAACCCTAAACCCTAAACCCTAAACCCTAAATCCTAAACCCTAACTCCTAAACCCTAAATCCTAAACCCTACATCCTAAACCCTAAATCCTAAACCCTAAATCCTAAACCCTAAACCCTAAATCCTAAACCCTAAACCCTAAATCCCTAAACCATAAGGATCTACAAGGGCCCCTCTGAGAGGGAATTCTGGACAAGCCATGTTTGTAGAATCCTTGTTCTGCGATGTTTTGGGCCCCTATCATGCATTCGGCATGGCTACGTACTTCTTGGCGCCCTTCTTTGTGCGTTGGAAGCAGGGTTTAAGGGTTTACGGGTTTAGGGGGTTTCGGAGATTAGGTTCTTAGGCACCCAAGACCCTAAACCCCTAAACCTCAGTTTTTTGGGTTTCAGTAGGGGGGTTAGGTATCCAAAACCCAAAACCCAAAACCTGAGCCACTCGCCCGTCTTCAGAATCTGTGCAGGGAACCCTCGGTCTTTTGGCTCCTTTAGGGTTTAGGGTTTAGGGTTTAGGGTTTAGGGTTTAGGGTTTGGGGTTTAGGGTCTAAGGTTGAGGGTTTCGGGTTGAGGGTTTAGGAGTTTCAGGGGTTTGCAGGAGACATGAGCGGGGATTTGTGTGCTCCTAACCCCCAAACCCGAAACCCGAAACCCGAAACCCGAAACCCGAGACCCTACACCCTAAACCCTAAACCCTAAACCCTAAACCCTAAACCCTAAACCCTAAACCCTAAACCCTAAACCCTAAACCCCAAACCCCAAACCCTAAACCCTAAACCCTAAACCCTAAACCCTCACAGCACAGCCGAGGCGCAGGAGATCGCGGCAGCCGCGCCCGACTGCGGAGGCCCCCAAGCCCTAGGCCCCAGGCCCTGCACAGCGAGGCATCTCTGACGCTCGATAGCCCTCGAAAAGCCCTAAACATTCCTGGGGTTTAGGGTTTAGGGTTTAGGGTTTAGGGTTTAGGGTTTAGGGTTTAGGGTTTAGGGTTTAGGGGGTTTAGGGGGTTTAGGGGGTTTAGGGTTTAGGGTTTAGGGTTTAGGGTTTAGGGGTTAGGGTATAGGGTTTCGGGGTTAGGGTATAGGGTTTCCTGGGATTATGGTTTCATCTCGGTTTTGCCCTAAGGGAGGTCAACCCAAGTCCCTTCTGAAAAAGCGGCCCTAGTTCGATTGTGACCACCCCTCCACCTGCAAGAAAGCTGGGCGGCTGGTCGTTCTTAATCTGGACTTGGGGAATTGAAGAGCTAGGCACCTTCCACCCTATAGAAAGCGCTTGAAAGGATGCAAACACAAAGAGCCTAAGGGTTTAGAGTTTAAGGTTTAGGGGAACTCCTAAGTGATTTGGAACAAGCCCAGATTCTGTGTATGGTTGAGAGAGGCGACAGCTTCGTGCGCTGGCGCTCGAGGGTGAAGGGTTAGGAGAGATGTTAAGCAACCATTTAGGGTTTAGGGTTTAGGGCTTAGGATTTAGGGCTTAGGGTTTAGGGTTTCGGGTGTAGGGCTTCGGGTTCAGGGCGCATATCATCCCAAAAAAAATCAACATGAGGCCAGGACCGGTCTAATCGCGGGGGTTGACTAATCGGACGGGCGGGCATTTTCGGGGGGTGGACCGGTCTAATCCGGGGGGTTTATTAATACCGTTCAAACATTAGGGTTTAGGGTTTAGGGTTTGGGTTTAGGGCTTAGGGCTTAGGGTTTAGGGTATAGGATTTAGGGGCTTGTGGGCCCAAACTCAAGTTGTCTTCTGTGTAAGCCCCTATAACCCCTAACTCGAAACTCTAAACCCTAAACCCTAGACTCGAAACTCGAAACTCGAAACCCCTAAACCCTAAACCCTAAACCCTAAACCCTGCTTTTCGGCATTGCACATGCCAGGCCCGGCACTTCGGAGGTGTGCCTGGAGGTTGGGGCTCGTTTGGGTTTAGGGTTTAAGGGTTTAGGGTTTAGGGTTTAGGGTTTAGGGTTTAGGGTTTAGGGTTTAGGGTTTAGGGTGCAGGGATTGAGACGGGTTTCGCGACCTGATGGTAAGGGCATCCTGGGGATCTATTGAACCTCAAACCCTGAACCCTAAAACCCTAAAACCCTAAATCCCTAAAACCCAAAAAACCCAAAAACCCTAAAACCCCAAAACCCTAAAACCCTAAAACCCTAACACCCTAAAACCCTAAACCCTAAACCTTAAACTGCAAAAGTCGGAGATTCTGTTTGGGGTTGGAGCAGGCAAGCGCCTCATGGTCCTGGCAGTTAAGGGTCTTGAGGGTGCGTTATTGAGGAGTCTTGCTTAGGTTTCAGGGTTCAGGTTTAGGGTTTTAGGGTTCAGGGTTTAGGGTTTAGGGGGGTTCAGCGCTTTTCAGGGACATCAGGGTCTACTAGTTGGGATATCGTGGAGGGCAGCCTGCGCGTAGTGAGAACGGGAAATTCGAGACCTCGCAGTGTCTTCGAGGCGACTGTACATTCGCTGTGGCTGAGAGCGTTGTTTTTTTGTAAACCCTAAACAACCCTAAACCCTTAAACCATAGGGTAGTTTATGTGTAGGCATTTAGGTCTACAAGGGGATCTTTTTTGAACTAGTTTCTCCATAGTTTGCCTGACTCCTTCGCCCTTGGCCCACCAGCTGGGAACTGAGAAATGTTGAGTTGCCCGTGGTATGATGAAAAGAAGTCCAGAAGCCGATCGCCCCAAGCAAATCCCGAAGTGGACCCCCAAGCCCGAACCCCCGCAAGCCCGATGCCCGGCCTGTCACCAAGTAGCTGGCAGTTGGCTTCAATTGCCACTTCAACTACAAGGACTCTTTTATGGGGTTTAGGGTTTAGGGTTTAGAGTTTAGGGTTTAGGGTAAACCACCCTGCCCCCCCGGCTCGACCCCCGAGGTGAACCCCTTAGCCTTGGACCTAAACACGGAGCTCTGAGCCATTCTCCTCTAGGTTCTGAGGTTAGGGTCTCTTAGGATTCAGGGCCTACAAGGCTTATAGGGTTTAAGGCCTTAGGGTATAGGGTGTAGACAAGCGCCATGGAATACAGTGGCGTGGTGAAGTCGTTCAACCCGATGACGCCCGGCGCAGGGGACAGACAGATTGATGGTTTAAGTTTGCAACCCTCAACCCCAAGCCCACAACCCCGAAAACCCTAAACCCGTTCAGCTAAACCTTGAACCCTGAACCCTGAACCCTGAACCCTGAACCCTGAACCCTGAACCCTGAACCCTAAACCCTAAACCCTAAACTCTTCGGGTGGTTGAGAGCCCGAGGCCCCCAGTGTTTATTGGGTTTGGGGGGCCTCCCGCCACCCCCGAGTCCTCATCAGCGTGTGTGCGTGCCATAAAGAAAGTTGTGGCGCGTGCCGCTCATGCGTCTTCTGACATGACGCCATGGGTCATGGACCCTAGACCTTAAGCCCTAAACCTTAAACCCTAAACCCTAAACCCTAAACCCTAAACCCTAAACCCCAAACCCTAAACCCGAAACCCTAAACCCCAAACCCTAAACCCTAAACCCTAAACCTTCAACCGGGGGGTGTAGGGGCTGAGAAAACGCACAGCCCACGCGTGTCGGCATGCTCAGGAAGGGTTGGGGCTTCATCACCAGTGAGGAGGCAGGAGGCGGGCGCCGTTCTCTGGTAAGGGCTGCCTTGCTACGGGCCGAAGAAGGTTAAGGATAAGTGTTTTCAGTGGGTTTAGGTTTAGGGTTTAGGGAGGATGGTTCTGGTGCCCTTGCCAAGGCTGACTCTAGGCGATGTCTTCAGAAGCCTAGATGCGTTCCACTCCACAAGGCCCCTAAAACTTAGTAGGAATATGTATATATATATATACATATATATATATATATATGTGTGTGTGTGTGTGTGTGTGTCTCTCTCTCTCTCTCTCTCTCTCTCTCTCTCTCTTTTCTTCGCAGAAAAAGCGTAAACCCGAGGCCCTCTCCTCCCCCCCCCCCCCCCCCCCCCTGGCCCCCGTGCAGTCGAGCCATGCTGTCTCCATGTGCCCGTGTAAGATGGCACCTTCATGTATCTTGGAATCTTAATTCATACGGGGGTTTACGATATGAGGGGTACCTTGTTGAGGTCCTTCTGGTAAGGGGATCCTACTCTTGGGGGTAAATCCTAGGCGTCCCCGGTTCTCGTAAACCTCTATATAGGCGGCCTGGATGAAGGGCCCTTAACCCTAAACCCTAAACCCCAAACCCGAAACCCCAAACCCGAAACCCCAAACCCTGAACCCTAAACCCTAAACCCTAAACCCTAAACCTACACCCATATAGGCTACTGGGGATGAAGGGATTTGGGTTGAGGGGTTTAGGATAGAGGCTAAACCCTAAACCCTAAACCCTAAACCCTAAACCCTAAACCCTAAACCCTAAACCCTAAACCCTAAACCCTAAACCCTTAAGTTGACCGCTGTGGGTCCTGGAGGAGATCTGCTGCTGCTCAAGACGGAGCTGGGTGGGTACTGCGCCAGCCAGGGGGACCAGGTCCCTTGCGATTGCGTTCAGGGTTTAGGGTTCAGGGTTTAGGGTTTAGGGTTCAGGGTTTAGGGTTCAGGGTTTAGGGTTTAGGGTTTAGGGTTTAGGGTTTAGGGTTTGGGTGCTTAGCGGGCCTCAAGAGGTTCGAGGATTTTGGTGGTAGGGTTTGCAGCGATTTCTTGTCTTTGCTGTGAATCAGCAGAACGCAACTTTTGCAGGATGATACCTAGCGACTTCGTGGTGAACAGACAGTCTTGTTCTTCGGAGCCCCTCTAAACCTCCAAGCCCTAAGCCAAACCCTAAATCCTGAACCCTGAACCCTAAACCCTAAACCCTAAACCCTGAACCCTAAACCCTAAACCCTAAACCCTAAACCCTAAACCCTAAACCCTAAAGCCTAAACCCTAAACCCTAAACCCTAAACCCTAAACCCTGAACCCTGAACCCTGAACCCTAAGTCCTACAGTTCTTCGGTAGGTGTCCTTCACTGTCCGGGAGACGCCGAAGGGGCTCCAGGCGGCTGGCGTCAAGGTCATCTCGTCCCAGGCGTGGACAAGTAGGGGTTTGGGGTTCAGGGTTTAGGGTTTGGGGTTTAGGGTTTAGGGTTTAGGGTTTAGGGTAATCCCAAAACCCACCCAAAACCCGAAAGCTCTAAAACCCCACACAAGCCTCAAGCCCTAACCCGAAACCCCAGATGCACCCCCAAGCCCTTACCCTAAACCCTAAACCCTAAACCCTAAACCCTAAACCCTAAACCCTAAACCCTAAACCCTAAACCCTAAACCCTAAGCCCTTAAACCCGGACTTTTGGGTTTGAAGCGTGTAGCTTCCTGCTGCGGTTGAATTTCTTCATTTTCCTCGTAAAGCAAGGTGTACTAAACCAAAAACCCGAAGCCTTAAACCCTAAACCCTACACCCTACACCCTACACCCTAAACCCTAAACCCTAAGGTCTAAACCCTAAACCCTAAGCCCGAAACCCTAAACCCTAAGCCCGAGGTTGCAAACTGTGGACTGGTGACTTGAGTTGCCCTGAGCCCTGAGCCCTAAATACCATGCAAAGCCCCTAAACCCTAAAACCCTAAAACCCTAAAACCCTAAAACCCTAAACCCTAAAACCCTAAAACCCCAGAACCCTAAAACCCTTAAACCCCTAAACCCCTAAACCCCTAAACCCCTAAGCCCCCAAACCCCTAAGCCGCAGACCCCCACACCCCGAAACCCCAAGAGGATGGAACCTACAACTTCTTCGGGGTCGTGAAGTCCTTCAACATGGACAAGGCAGGTCACTGTCGCAAGGAGTACCCTGGTCCATCGCCCTCAGCAGGTTTAGAGTTTGGGGGCTGTGGTTTTGGGGTTTGGGCTTTGGGGCTTGGGGTTTGCGGTTTGAGGTTTGGGGCTTTGGGGTTTTGGGGTTTGGGGTTTGGTTGCGAGTGAGCAATTTCTTTTGGCGTCTTGGAGCTGCTGTGGTGAGTTGCTGGTTTGTTTGTTGAGGTGCCCTGCACGCTGCAGAATAAGTTATAAGCGGACAGACAAGACAAGACAGGTCTGGGAGCTGAGGGTTTAAGTCCGTGTGAGCCGAGGCACTCTCCAAACCCCTGAACCCTAAACCCTAAATTCGCAAACATACGAAGCATCCCGCAGCCCTAGACCCCAAACCCTAAACCCTTCTCCCTGAACTTCGGCCTTAGGGTTTAGGAGTTTAGGGTTCCCTTATATTGCCTTGATCACATGGAAGAATATATTCGTGATTTTTAGGTGTAGGGTTTTGTAGAGTCGGTTCCGACCTAGAAAATGGTGGTTTCTTTTAGGTGCTTGCAAGCCGTCTAGGTAGGTTTGTGGGACTTTTTTGTATCTACCCTTGCTGGGTCGAAGAGTACCTTCCTGGGGAGTACTGTCAAAGACCTTCAAACGGAAAAAAAATGCCAGCTGCCAGGGCTTCGGCTTCCTTGGTTGCGATGCCGCAACGAACATCTTTGGCAAGGACGTCTTCGTCCTGAGGCGCAGCCACATGTCTCACGTGCCGGTAGGGTGATCAGCTGGTGGGCCGCTGTACTTAGGGTTTAGGGTGTAAGGCTTAGGGTTGAGGGACAGAATGGAAGTCCGCTGTTTGCAGAATCTGCACCGGCATCATGGACCTCGAAACCTTGGTTTCCAATCCGAACGCAACGCCCCTGAACCCTAAGCCCCCAAACCCAAACCCCAAACCCCAAACCCAAACCTCAAAACCCAAAATCCAAAATCCAAACCCCAAAAAACAAAGCCCTTGTTTGTTGTGAGGAGCCAGGTCCCACAGGGGATGATCGCCACTGGTGCCCAAGTGCAGTTCAAGGCGGGGCTTCTTTGGTTGTGGAGTAATGGTTGGTTTAGGGTTTAGGATTTAGGGTTTAGGGTTTAGGGTTTAGGGTTTAGGGTTTAGGGTTCAGGGTTTCGGGTGTAGGGTTTAGGGCTTTCTGAAGCTCCTAGACCCCCAAGCCCTACTTCCCAACCCGAGATCTTATACATCCCGCAGGTCCACCTCAAGCTCTACCTTCTTTTGTTGTGTTGTACTTGGGTTTAGGGTTTAGGGTTTAGGGTTTAGGGTTTAGGGTTTAGGGTTTAGGGTTTAGGGTTTAGGGTTTAGGGTTTAGGGTTTAGGGTTTAGGTTAGGGTTTAGGGTTTAGGGTTTAGGGTTTAGGGTTTAGGGTTTAGGGTTTAGGGTTTAGGGTTTAGGGTTTAGGGTTTAGGGTTTAGGGTTTAGGGTTTAGGGTTTAGGGTTTAGGGTTTAGGGTTTCGGGTTTAGGGTGGGGTGGGGGTGGAGTGGAGGGGTGTGTTGCAACAGTAGAGACAGAGTATCTGGAGTGCTGTTGAGTGACATTGCAGTGTTCAGGGTTTGGGGAAAAAGGGCTTCAAGGTTTCAGGGGTAGTTTTTCGGGACTTGGTGGTGTCAGTCAGCGCTCTCTCTGCCCTACGCCCCCGGACCCTGAGCCCTCTGACTCCCAAACTGGTAATGTGACCCTAAACCCTAAACTCTAAACCCTAAACCCTCAACCCTAAACCCTGAAGCCTCAGCACGATGATTCTGAACCTGGCAAGAAGACCCTAAACCCTAAACCCTCAACCCTCAACCCAAAGCCCAGCTGGCCTCTTCTTGGCTGATATTCGCCAAATCGCTGCAGTCAAGCCCTAAACTCCTTGCATGTAGGGTTTAGGGTTTAGGGTTTAGGGCTTAGGGTTTAGGGTTTAGCGAAGGCAGCGCTTGCTTCATGTTCGGCGTAGAGGCCTCCCAAAGGTTTGCTTCCAATCAGCGAAAGGCGTCCTCAACGCCAACCCCCCCTAGCCCCCCCTTCCCCAACCTTAGAATTGTTCGACACACACACACACACACGGAGAAGCAACCCTAAACCTTATAAAAACCCAAAACCCAAGACCCTCAGCCCTAAACCCCAAACACCAAAACCCTGAACCCTAAACCCTGCTGAAAAACACGTGATAGACCATAAGCTCTAAACCCTCAACCCTCAACCCTCAACCCTCAACCCTAAGCCCTAAGCCCTCAACCCTCAACCCTCAACCCTCAACCCTCAACCCTCAACCCTCAACCCTCAACCCTAAGCCCTAAACCCTCAACCCTCAACCCTCAACCCCCAACCCTCAACCCTCAACCCTCAACCCTCAATCCCAAACCCTTGGAGCCCATGGCAGGCAGAGCAGAAAGATCGGGGACCTCAGGTTGTGGGAGAGGTCCAGGCATACTGCGAGGGGTGGTGGTTTAGGGTTCAGGTTTTAGGGTTCAGGGTTTAGAGGGTTTAGGGTTCAGGGTTTAGGGTTCAGGGTTTAGGGTTTAGGGGTTAGGGTTTAGGCTGTTTATGTTTTTAGTTTTGGGGTTCGGGCATGTCGAAGTTTATGGTGTATGGTTTATGGTCTCAGTGTGTCGGGATTTGGGTGTAGGGCTTACGGGTTCAAGGTCTAAGAGGTCGTTTTTTTTTTGTTACTTGGAGGTTCATGTTACTTATGAACTTAACCAATGTATAACTGTACTGTACTTATAACTGCAATACAACCATCTTAGGGCGTGTAACGGGCTTTTGTGTGGGTGATAAGTACAGCCATAGTTGGTGAATAAGTACCCTGAACCTCCAAGTAGGGTTTGGAGTTGGGATGTTCCCCCTCATTCTAACAGTTCCGAATAGGGGTTATCATAGGGGGGTACTAGAATCCCTATTAAGGGCTGTTAGTATAAGGGGAACATCCCAATTCTAAACCCTAAACCCTAAGCCCGAAACCCTAAACCCTAAACTCAAAACCGTAAACCCTAAACCCTAAACCCTAAACCCTAAACCCTAAACCCTAAACCCTAAACCCTAAACCCTAAACCCTAAACCCTAAACCCTAAACCCTAAACCCTAAACCCTAAACCTTGGGACGGTTAGTATGAGCATCTCAAGTTTGGAGTATCTTGTCACAGGTCCTTGGTGGCGGGTCGCCAGCTATGCAAGGCGCGAGAAACGGCACGCAAGAGATCTTGAGGGCGATTGAGACCCTACGTAGGGCTTAGGGCAAGCCCTGAATCCTAAACCCTAAACCCTAAACCCTAAACCCTAAACCCTAAACCCTAAACCCTAAACCCTATACCCTATACCCTAAACCCTAAACCCTAAACCCTAAACTAATCCCTGAACCCTGAACCCTGAACCCTGAACCCTGAACCCTGAACCCTGAACCCTGAACCCTGAACCCTGAACCCTGAACCCTGAACCCTGAAACCTAAACCGCCTTAAGCCCCAGATCCTACATCCCTAAACTCTGAGCCCTTAAGGCTCAGACAGAGTCTAGAAACGCCTTCGAGACATGCTGTCTCCGCGACGTACACCTTTAGGCCATCCACCCATGGGTTCGGGGGTTTCGGGTTTCGGGTTGGGTTTTGGTGTTTGAGGTCTGGTTCCTCGTGGTCTTTCGGGATGTATAGGGCTTTTCTAGCCGCAGAGCCGAAGGTTATGCACCCATGGGCGGCATGGGCGGCGGTGGCGGCTACAGCGGCGGTGGCGGCTACAGCGGCGGTGGCGGCTACAGCGGTGGTGGCGGCTACAGCGGTGGTGGCGGCTACATGGGCATGATGCAGGGCCACATGTGACCCCGTCTTGAGTTGTGCCCAGTTGTGCCGGTTGATCACAGGGTAATCGTGAGAAGCCGTCTAAGGAAGCCCAAATGTCTAGCCTTCAGTCTTCATGTTACTTTTGTTAAACCCTGATCTCGTCCCCCATAAAATAGGGCACTTCATGTCCCAGGGCTTCATGAATGAGAAGGCCTTTTGGCGTTATGTTTGAAGCTCCGCGGGTTTGGGGTGCAGGGCCCGCTTCTAGCATTTTCCAAGAGCCCGAAGTCTTAAACCCCTGAGCAGGTAAAGGTGAGGCCCAGTTTAGGGTTCGGGTGAGGGAGACTGCCGGGGGCCCAGAAGAATGACGATGTTGCTGTATGGGGCCTAGCCTAACACACACATGACGTCTGCGACCATTTGACTTCAGTCATGGGAATGATGAGTTGGGCTTTAAGTTTAGGGCTGCGCCTTGCCTTGAGCTTAAACGGTGCACCCTGCTCCGAACGAGGTTTGTGTGAGTGGCCTTTGGACCTAGGAAGCTCGGTTTGGGCCGAAATTCCAACTTAAGACCCTGAAGGGTTGTCGAAATGCTGCACTCCATGGCACAGCCCTAAGTTTAAACACCCTCAACCCTAAACCCGAAACCTTCAACAAGCCACCTCAAAGAAGCGCATCTCCAAACCCAAAGGAACCGAACAGCAGGCAATGCCGAGGAACACCCACTTGGAGGTTCATGGTACTTATCAACCAACTATAACTGTACGTGTAACTGTACTTAAAACCATATTCGGTCCCGTAAGGGGCTTATAAATGGGTTATATGTACAGTTATAATTGGTTAACAAGTACCACGAACCTCCAAGCAGGATGCAGGAGGTTCTCAGGATGCACAGCACGGCAATCCTCTCCCTCGGTTACTGGCCTGCTTGTAATTGGCCACTTCTCCAAAATATGGTCTCTTTTTGGGGTGCTTATTCTAAGGCGGCCGCTTTTTATTAGGATGCCTAAAATCAAAAAAGGCATCAAAATTGAGGACTGACCAAGAAGCGCAAAGAAACTTCGAGGGAATGCCGGCCGGAAGTTGCATATAGCGATGTCACCTTGGAAGCTACCGTCTGCAGGCCGCGCGGCATCGTTGCCACACCGCCGGAACGCGAACCTTCGGACATCTTGTTACGTATATCGAAATAGCCAGGGTGATATGGGAGTCGGACACGCCGGTAGGCACCAAAGCAGAGTCACAGCGCACATGGCGCACAAATCCCCAAGCCCTAAGCCCTTGGCAAAAGCCCAAAAAGCAAGCTCATCTCTACCGAAACCCTAAACCCTACACCCTAAACCCTAAACCCTAAACCCTAAACCCTAAACCCTAAACCCAGACACCACGTGAAATGCCACTGTCAGCAGCCAGGATGGGTCCACCGATGGTTCCCGTGACAGGCACCCCACATCTTTCAACCTAGGGCTTGGGGTTTAGGGTTTAGGGTTTAGGGCTTAGGGTTTAGGGTTTGGGGTTTAGTTCTTCGGGTATAGGCCATGCTACCAACGAGGCTGGAGGTATTCAGTTGTGTGGGTTTAGGGAGCGTGAAAGTAGGGTTTGCGTTTGAAGTGAATCGTTCTGTCGGGTTTAGGAGAGGCTTTAGGGCTTAGGGCTTGTGGGGGCCGGGTTGTCGGGTCTGGGGCTTCCTCGAGTTTACTTCAGCGAGGATGCTGGGTCTGGGGCGCTTGTCATCGCTGAAAGCCCAAGTCCTGAATCGGATGTTGCTGGATGCAGCCCCCCCGTCAGTAGGGTGAATGGGAATGAGTCAGGCTGTATTTAATGCAGAAGCAAAGTTTCAAAATAGACACGCAGGCATGGGTGCCATGGGCATGGCCCAGCCTGGCATGGGAGCCTCCTTGCCGAATCCGACCCAGGCTGTCTATGCTTCAGCGTCAGGGAGGGCTCAGGGATTTGGGGGCGCAGAAGCAGTGGGATCTTAAACCCCAAGCCCCGAAAGCCTAAGCCCAAAACGAGTGTAAGGCTTCAGAGATAGGTGATGTTCTTCACGGTGCACAAGGCCAAGGGAAAGTGGAAAAACATGTGAAGCCGGCTGGTGAGTTGGGGTTCGGAGATTCACGGTTCAAGGGGCCAAACATACAGCTCCAATGCAAACCCCGGCACGTAGTTCTTTCGTTAAGAAAATCCTGGCGGACTGAAACTTAATCTTATTCCCCCATAAAATCCCTATGTACAGTCCCTATATACCCAAGTAGCTCCTACATTACCCCTAAGGTCCCTTGTAAGGGTCCCTCCCTTCGTCCCCTTGAGAACCACAATGTGCCCGAGGTGTTCTTTGGCACGATCAAGCAGGTCAACCAGGAGCGCCAGTGTCATCGCAAGGGCGGGAGGAGGGGCAGAGCTCCTCAACCACCTCCTCCACGGCACCCTAAACCCTAAACCCTAAACCCTAAACCCTAAACCCTGAACCCTAAATCCTAAACCCTAAACCCTAAACCCTAAACCCTAAACCCTAAACCCTAAACCCTAAACCGTAAACCGACCCTAAGCCCTAAACCCCGAGCCAGAAGCTCCAGGCCCTAAACCCCACCAAACCTTTCCAAACCCGAGAATCCCACACGCCAAACCCCCATAGGGTTTAGGGTTTAGGGTTTAGGGTTTAGGGTTTAAGGGCCGAAACTCGACGCGAGGAGAAGGGCTGGGGGCACATCACCTGCCACGCGCTCCAGAGGTTTCTGAACAAGGTTGGGATGGCCCATGGGTGCGCTTTTTCGAGTTAAGGGTTTGGGGTTTAGGGTTTAGGGTTTAGGGTTTAGGGCAAGCAAAGTCCTGCAGACCCCAATCTCCATCAGTCCCGAGCCCGAAAGTCCTGAACTCTTTTCAACCAAAACCCAACCAGACACTAGTGGGTTTAGGTTTTGGGGTTCAGGGTTTTAGGGCTTTAGGGCTTTAGGGTTTGAGGGTTTGAGGGTTTGAGGGTTTGAGGGTTTGAGGTTTTTAGAGGGTCCTCGAAAAGGATTTCCGAGACTTGAACCATGGCTTCCCCTACTACCCCGCTCTAGACTACCCCCCCCCCCCCCCCCCCTTCCATGGTTTCCAAACAAAAGCCAGGAAAATGAAAGACTTAGCCTTAAACCCTACACCCTAAACCCTAAACGACTATTCCTACAAAACCTCAAGCAGAACATGTTGGCAAAGTCAAGAAATGGCTTCTGGAGTCTAGGGGTTTAGGGGTTGGGGGTGAAGGGGGGATTTAGGGGTTTAGGGTTTTGGGGGTTTAGGGCTTAGGCTTTAGAAACTGGGATTTAGGGGTTTATGGTTTAGGGTTTGTAATTTAAGGGTTCGGGGTTAGGGGTGACATCGCCTCGCGTAGCTTCTGCCAGCGGTGGCCCCTTGTGCGCATCGCCCAGCGGGATGCCTGCATGGTTTAGGGTTTAGGGTTTAGGGTTTAGGGTTTAGGGTTTAGGGTTTAGGGTTTAGGGTTTAGGGTTTAGAGTTTAGGGTTTAGGGTTAGTTAAGGGCGGAACCCAGGGGGTAGTATAAGTTAGCATATACCATTTCCATTTTCTAACCATGACCACCTCCCAGGCCACCCAGAATACCCGTAGGAAGACCCCAACCCAAGACCCACATGATGCAAACCATACAATGGAACCATGCACCACCCCATAGATACTAGCATACTGAACCCCATAGTATGACCCACCGCGTAGAAAACCCATGACACCCAACCCGAAAGAAACGGAAATGGCCTGCTGTTTTGAAATATTTATCAGGAATACGGTTTAGGAAAAAGGTTGCAACGGTAATGAGGCCACAAATTTGAGAGTAATACCTACATCACAGTAGTCGTGTCAGTGAAGTCCGGTGTTTTGGTGCCGCTGTGAGGTCTCTGGTCCAACGGTCTGTGATTGTCTTGCCTTCGCTCATAACAGTCGTAGCAAATGCATCAACTACTTGTCCACATGGTCGTCTTTCCGCACCAAGCACACCGCGGCATGCATCTCTCAATCGTTATGAAAGCTGCCCTGGTGGCCCTGGTACTTACCACATTCTTCTTGACATCCACGATGGCAAGGTGTTTTTTTTTCTGCCAGTCCGTGCTGGCTCCGGGCACGTTCCCTTGCTGTGCCAGTCGCGCTACGCTCTGCTACAGCTTCGACGTATTGGATGCTTGTCCAGAAACATGCGTACATGGACTCAGACTGCCACACACTACGGGAAGTTTCGAGTTTCCTGCAACAGTTATAGCAGTCGGGTAACGAGGAAAGGTGGTTTGATAGCCTGCAGTGCCTGCATCAGACGTGGGCAGTGCCACTTGGCAGGTGGCAGAAGGTTGGGCAGTCACAGCTGGCCGTGTGCAGTGCGGGCAGATGGTCGGCTCAACTGTTTTGGACGGAATGAAGATGGGCAGCGTGATGTGCCAGCAGATTTGGGACCCGTTTTGGCTGTCGCAGCTGGCCACCGTCATACTTGTGCAGTGCGGGCAGATGGTCGGCTCGTCTGTTTTGGACGGAATCTAGATGGGCAGTGTGATGTTCCAGCAGATTTGGGACCCGTTTTGGCAGTCGCAGCTGGCTACTATCATACTTGTGCAGTGCGGGCAGATGGTCGGCTCGTCTGTTTTGGATTGAAGGCCTGTGAGGTCCCAGAAGATTTGGGACCCGTGTTGGCTGTCGCAGCAGGTGGCTATCATACTTGTGCAGTGCGGGCAGATGGTCGGCTCATCTGCTTTGGACGGAATGAAGATGGGCAATGTGATGTGCCAGCAGATTTGGGACCCGTTTTGGCTGTCGCAGCTGGCAAGAGTCATACTTGTGCAGTGCGGGCAGATGGTCGGCTCGTCTGTTTTGGATGGAATGAAGATGGGCAGTGCAACGTGGACAACCACTGATCATGCAGAAAAAGCACAGCTTCACCAGCGTGGCAAGCCCCTTTGACCCCCAAGTCCACAAAACCACCCTCAAGCCTGCAGCAATTCAAACTGCAAATACTGTCTATCAACACCCTCAACTCTGTAATGATATTGACCTAATTTG